CCCACCAGCTGCAGCAGGGAGGCCTTGCCCGCGGGCTGGCCCTTGACAAAGGACGACCTGCACAAAGAGATGCATGGCAGGTGACGGGGCAGCCAAGGTGGTCGAGTGGGGCGGGCTGAATGTGACAAGTCGCATCTGGCTGCATGCTGCTGCAAAGGCAAGCAGAACACACCACGCAGCTCACGACCAAAGGGTGCGACGTTTGGGTTCGAAAGAGCAGCGTGTGTCAAATCGACCGCACCTCCCTGAAGTGGGGTGGAGAACCAGGGGCAAAGGTTCGGGGCAGAGAAGGGGGGTTGTGCGAGGTGGGGGCGATGGGGTTGGTATTCCAGGGCGCTGCAACATGAGTGCAAACGCAGGGCGCGCCTGGGTGTGCCATCCACGCAGCAGGGGAGGGAAGCTTTGCCCGGTGCGCCACAAAAGCTCTGCAACGCAGCAGGCTCACATTCAATGTCGAAGCCGACCGTGCGCGCGCCGCTCGCCAGCAACCTCGTGCATGCCGCGTCCACGTCGGCTGGCGTCGAGCAATAGGTCATAGCCCCTGCATAGGACGCGGCAGGCCGCTGAGCCTGCAGATTGACACCAGCGCCCGCGTGTGACGCCAAGAGCGCCGGGTCGCTGTGCCGGCGCTGCAGCCGGCCGGACGCGCCGCTGCCGCCGCCGCTGCTGCCGCTGCAGCTGGCATCACCTGCCCCGCTGCAGCTGCTGCGCGGCCGCGCGTCACAGTTGCCGCTGCTGCCACCGACGACGGCACCAACCCGGCGCTCTGCCTGGTGCTGCAGCAGAGAGAGTGGCAGCCGCCTCTGTGTCTGCTGTGCTGAGGGTGCGCCACCTCCCTTTGCCTTTTGTTGGTGATCCCCTTGTACACCAGCAGCCTGAGCTGACACCTGAGTTGGCAGCACCATGGGCTGTGCCTGCTGCTGTTGCTGCTGCTGTTGCTGCTGCTGCTGGTGCTGCTGCTGCCGCTTGTGCGCTTGCACCTGCTCCCGCTGCTGATGTTCATGCTCAATCGGATTCCGCTGCGGCTGCGGTCCCTGCTGTTGCTGCTGCTTCTGCGGTGGCGGTGGCAGTGGTTGCAGCTGCTGCGGTTGCTGCTGCTGCTGCTGCAATTGCTGCTGCTGCTGTGGTTGCTGTTGCTGACTTTGCTGCTGCTGCTGTGGCTGCTTTTCAAGCTGCGTCGTCGGCAGCTTCAGAGGAGAAAGTAGGCCCAGTGTTGCACCATACTCAGGGCGTTTGTCCACACATGTGCCTGGCGCAGCCTTCCATACTTGTTCTTGCTGCTGCCGCTGCTGCCGGTGCTGCCGCTGCTGCCGCTGCTGCCGCTGCTGCTGATGATGATCTGGGGACTCGGGCTCTGCCGCCAATGAGTCTGGCAGGACCAGGTTGCCAGGATGTGCTGGGTCTCCTCCACCAACCACAAGCCCCGCTTCAGCCTTTGAACGGCTGCGCAGCGTGGCTGGACTGATTGCGGCAGCACGTTTATGCTGCAGCTGCGCCGCGCGGACCATGGACACCGTTGTGCCGGCGCGCAATTTGGAAAGCATCGGAGGAACATCGCATGCTTCGACCCCGCCAGGAGCACGCATTGATGTTGTGGGGCGCGACGAGGCGCCTTGCGCTGTGCGCTCCGCGGACTGTACCACCCGTTCGAGATCGTCCCATTCATCGTCATCCATGAGAAGAACGTCACCCGACATGCCAATACTTCAAGATCTTGGCAGACGGCTGCTCCCTGTGATGTTCAAACGCGCAGTCATACAATGGCATTAAAAATCAGTCACAAACGCAACCACTGGGTACATTTGATGCTGATCGGGTAGCAGGCGTTTGCCCCTCACCCGCTCACACTCCCTCGTGCTGAGGCTGCTGCGGCACAGGCAAGCAGGTCAAGGGCGGGTATAATGATCGAGGCTCGCACCGGTCGCATAAATGACTGAGATGGGTTTACGTGGTATGGCAATTTGATACAATTCCTGCTGCATTTGCAGCAGTGGTCCAGAATTCCTGATCTGGCAGCCGTGGTCAATACATAGAAATGCATAGATTCATAATTAACATGGCTAGTGGCCTGCGTGGACTGCCGGCACTGGCGGGCGGCGGTGCGGCGGCGACCGGAGGGCGCGCGACTGTTGTGGCGCTGGCCCTGGCGGGCGGAACAGTGGCGTACATGCAATCATACCCACGAAGCATTCCCGTCAAGGATCCAACAGACAGCAAGTGAGTCCCCCCAGCCATGATGTTTTGGAGGAACCGTCCTATCCATGACATACCATCAATGCAGGCAGCCACTGCCTGCATCCGCGGACGCCAAACGCCCATGTCCATACGTCGACGCCGCCTCCGCCCACTCTGCGTGCTTGCATACAGGCTCTTGCTCGAGCGGCCAGTCATGGAGATGATCTGCGGGGCGGTTGGAGAGGTCGCCCAGGTGCTTCACGCCTCCCAAACACAGCCCGCAGCTTGCCGCCCACAGTCAGCGCAACCGCGTAGAAAGCGGCAGCATCAATGGTTCCCGCAACAGCGCGCCCGCTCGGCCCTTTGCCCCCTCATGTTGATTTATTTGATGATGCTGATGCTGCATCGTATGTGGTGGCCTGCAGGTGTGTGTGCTCTACCCCCTCGAGACAATCAAGGTGACGTGCCAGGCGGAGGGCCTGGGGGTCGCGGCAGCTGTGCAGAAGCTGCTGGCCGGCGGCCCCTGGCAGGGCGTGAGGCAGCTCTACAGCGGCGTCGGCGCGGCTGGAGTGTGCTCCATCATCGTGGGCGCAGTCCACTATGCATCATTCTGCATGAGCAAGCGCGCGGCGATGGCGGCGGCAGACGGCGGCGGCAGCGGTGGTAGCGGCAGCAGCAGCGGCGGCGGCGCCGGGCACGGGGCGGGGGAGGCGAGCGGGCAGGGCCCCGCAACGGCGTTTGCAGCAGTAGTGGGCGCGTTGTGTACAGCGCTGGTGGAGTCCCCTTGCGATCTGTACCGGCATATGACACAGGTGTGTGAGCGTGTGTATGGGGGGCGGAGCCGAGTGCTGCATGCAGCACTTACCGCTTGTCTAGGTTGGTGTGCCCCTACAGGAGAGGGCGGTGCGGCTGTCCCACAGCCATGCAGATGTCATAGTTTGACACACACACACACACATACACACACAGACACACACACACACACAAACACTCACCTGTATACCCACACACACACACACACACCGCACAAACACTGCTCGTCACATGCATACACACACACACACACACGTATGTCCACCCCCACTTACCCGTCAAGGCCGGCCTGATCAAAGGCAACTTTCTGGCAGAGATGGCTTCTGCCGTGCGGCGTGACGGCATCGGGGCCCTGTACTGGGGCTTCTTCGCCTTCTGCATGGAGTCGTTCCCCTATGACATCATGGAACTGGTGAGAAGCTGGCGAGAAGCCGCCTCTGCTTCTCGATCTGCAATGGAACGCGAGCGCGGCTGCTTGCTTTGGTGAATCAGGCGGAGCTCGCGCGGTGCGGCGCGATGCAATGCTGCATCGGTGCCAAGCCGCGGATAAGCAGGCAGCTTTGCATTTGAGAGCGGGTGTTTGCTTGCAACCTGATTCCTGCTCCATGTCTACATCGCTTGAGGACTAACTGATTCACTGTCTGTGCGCAGGGAAGCTACGGCTCGATGCAGGACGCGCGGGAAGCAGCCCTAAAGCGGGACGACGCGCTCGGGCGCCGCCTGGCGGCCGTGCCCAGCCAGGTGCGCAGCTGGGCCCACCCATGCCCCACCCAAACACATGGCATGCTTCCTTTTACAAGTGCCTTCGACCAAACAACGACCTGCTTCTCCATGCATTCATGTAAACCCCACCTTGTCCCCAGCCCTGTGGACCCCAGCCCGTGCCGGGAAGGTGCCAAGCAGGTTCCTGATCCCTGCTTACCGCTCCTGACCACCCCGCCCGCCACAGGCCTTGGACATGGCGATCGGCGCGGCGTCTGGAGCAGCAGCGGTCGTCGTCAGCATGCCCTTTGACGTGAGCTGCCTCGGATGATTGCGCCCCTGCCGCAGCTGGCGTGGAGCGACCGCCTGCAAATCGCCCTCGGCCGGGAGGGTCTCCGAACACCCCGTGGCAGGCGCCGCTGGCAATAGCGTTGACACCGCGTCCTCCTCTCGCACCCAATCCCGTGATTTGCAACCCTATCAACCTGCCGCTGAAACCTCTTGCCCTCGCCTCGTGCCATGCACAACACTGCGCGCTGGCTTGGCAGGTCGTCAAGACTTACCTGCAGGTTGGGCGTATGTGAAAGCGTGGGGCAGCTGCTTCGTGTCGTTGGCCTGGGGATGCACTGCCAGCCAGTGGCCGCGTGTACAAATGCGTCGCGAGTCTCCACATGTGTGCGCTCATTGCAAGTCGGTGTGAGGTGCACATGGCAGCTGCTCGAGCCGCCCTTAGTGCCAGCCCTGCGTCGCTCGGCCGCCCAATTGCATCCACGGCTTGGTTTCGGAGCTTCGGGACGGCACCGGCCGCACACACCTCACCCTCCTCTCCCTCACTTAGCACGCAGCACCGCGCCCGCCGTCGCCGCCCCCACACACCGGCAGACCCACGGCTCCCAAGTCGCGGCCAAGGCGGGTGGCGGCGTCTGGGGGGAGGCTGTAGCGTTTGCGTCCACCGGCGCGAGCATGGTCCGGGCCAATGGCCCCGGCTCTCTTTTCGTGGGCCTGGCCCCGCGCTTGGTCCAGCAGGTGCGCCGCCAGGCGGCCGCGTGGCGGGGCGCGGCCTCATTCAGTGCCGGCGTCTCGCGGCTGCAGGGGCAGGGTCGGGGGCCTGCCCAACATCGCCCCGCCTTCTGGCTCCATTTGCTCGCAGCCTGTTCGTGTGTGTGTCCGTCATTTTGGCACGCCGTCAATTGCATGCAGCGCCCACGGCCAAGTTGTCCTTGGGGGATGTGCACTCAGACATGCCTCTGCCCTCCTGTCAATCCCCGACCCCACTGCCGCCTCAGGTCCCCAGCAGCACCATCTGCTGGTACGTGATAGAGCAGTGCAGGGAGCTGCTGGAGCCCTACACAAAGGCATGAGCAGCGGGAGCGGCTGGGCGGCGGAATGGGCCGCACACACAGCAGCCGCCTGGGCAGGCAGCCTCTCGGCTCAGGGCTGGCAGCAGAAGGCACGCGTCCCTCAGAGCGTGGTGCAGGGCTGGCCCTGCCGTTGCGTGCTCAGCGCCGCCGCGTTTCCCAGGCGCACCTGCTTGATTTGCAAGCGGCTGGCATTTGTTTCATTGCGGGCTGCCCAATGTTGCCTTATCTAGCACTGAATTCAATAGCTGGATGCGGCGCTGTAGGCAGGGCAACGCAGATGATGCTCCTCGCCGCAGCAGCCTTCGCTATGCTTGTGGCACATGCCGGCCGGCCCCCCACCATTATTGTGCTGAGCGTTGTGCTGAGCACGATTCTTTTTGCGGTGCCGCCATATTGTTGGCGCGCGCCCCATTTGTTCGCCGCTGAAAACGCCGGCACAGCGCACGGCCACGCGCTGCTGTAGCCACACGAGCGAGCGTGCAGAAACCGGCCTCTGCAGTGCAGCTCTGCGAGCCCGGCCGTCGCTTACAGCTGGCCTGCGCATTGCCATGCGCGACTCAAGGCCACGGCTGCGGCTTGCAACAAGTTTGAGCAAACACAACAGACTCTCATCAGCAAGTTGCGGCTGGGCTGCGCCGCATTTGCAGCAGCGCCGCGGGCGCGCATCGCTCGATCGCGGATTGCAGCATGCATGATACGGCCCTAAGCGTCTTGAGAAACAGGATCAGGCAGTCAGGGCAAAACCCCTGCTGCAAAGCCACAAGCAAGGCTTGTGGGGCTGTTGCTCCCTCATAGCCTCAGACACTAGGTTTGCACGTGTGCATAGCGCTGCTGAGGGTGGAACGATGATGGCAGACGGGCAAAAGGACTGGCGGCAGCCTGCCTAGTAAAGCAAACACGAGCTTGCGCAGCGCAGCACTCTTCAGTCAATAGGATGGTGAGTTGCATCCAAGGTGTATCACGGGAAGGGTAAGCATGCGAGGTGCGATTTCCATCTTTGAATCATCATCCTCCGAGGGTCCCCAAATCTCTCTCGCCCCAGCTCAACTCTCTTGTCGCAACGCGGCCCAGCCGCCCCTTCACCTGCCGCCCCGCCCGCGCCCCTTGGCCGCCCGCGGGGATCGCGCCGGCGCCGCCGCCGCCAGCGGGTCCAGCAGCAGCGCCGGCAGCGGCGCCCCCAGCGCGCCGCCGCCGCCGCCCTCGGCGCCGAGCCCGGCCGCGGCCGCAGCCGTGGGAGCGGCGGCCCCGTCCGCCCCCGGCGTAAACAGCCGCAAAGCCTCGTCCAGTACGCAGCCCACGCTGAGCAGCGACGCGTCGCGCCACGGCGGCGCGATGAGCTGCAGGCCGACCGGCAAGCCGGCGGGCGGGGGCGCGGCGGAGGGGGCCGGCGGGGG